GGAGTCACTATCCGTGCCAGCTTCCCACCCGCACCGAAACTTGAAAAACCCTACTTCTCGCGCCCTGGGGCTCTCCTTCCTTTCCCCTGTACTGACTTCTGGCACCTTATGTTTCCTTCTAGATTTGGTTCTGGAGCTGCCATGATTGAAGTGGTGGCTGAGCTGAGTCGAGGTCCTGTATTTCTGGCGGGGGAGGCTCTGGAATGTTTAGTGACTGTCACTAATCCCCTGCCCCCGACCGCCACTTCTGCATCCAGGTGGGGATGCTGGTATTGAAGGTGGTGGCCCCTCAGGGAGGAACCCTGGTATCGCTCTCTCCTTCTAAATCAGAGCTTTGGTTGTCCTGTAACTACACTACCATTACCACCTCCTCCTTGCTCATTCTGTGCTCTCATTGTAGGGAAGGGCTTTTCAACAAAGATGTGGATGACATGGGCTCCTATCCGCCTTTCCTCCTCCTCCCTCTCTGAACTTGATGCACTTTGCATTGTGTAATGGTTTCACTTTGGGGGTTCTGGATTCCCCGGTCACTTAAGACAGTTATCTAACCTTGGTGATCTTGTCGGACAGCGTCGGAGGGAAAGCATTTGTGAAGTCAGGAACTGTCTTCTCATTCCTTCTTTTTCCTCTCTCACAGTGAGGCTCTGGCCTGGGCCAGTGCCCAGATCCACTGCCAGTTCCATGCCAGTGAGAGTCGAGTGGCACTGCCACCCCCTGACTCTAGTCAGCCGGATGTCCAGCCTGACAGCCAGACTGTCTTTCTTCCACACCGAGGTTAGAGATAGAGTGTTTGTCTTGGAGGGAGGGGAAGTCATTGTCACCCAAGGGTAAAGCTAAGTTGTTCTTGTATTATGTAGTCACCAACACACCATGAGTATAGGGGAAGGTTGACTATTGATTTCGGGATATAAGACTGTTCCCATATTACATCAGAAAGAGTTTGCAGTTTTTCTGCTTCCATTTTCTGTGTGACTCTGGTCAGTAATGGACAATGGAGTCATTTCATTGCAGTCTTTCTTATTTTTCATAGGAGAGAGGGGTCAGTGTATCCTGTCTACTCCACCAAAAATTCTGTTTTGTGACTTGAGACTAGACCCTGGAGAGTCCAAATCATGTGAGTGATTGTCCCCCAGCCTGAAAGTGCCTTCTTAGTCTCCTGGAGGGAGAACCCTGGCTGCCTCTAGTTGTCCTGACTATTATTTTCCCAACCAGACTCCTACAGTGAAGTGCTGCCCACAGAGGGACCACCTTCTTTTCGGGGTCAGTCAGTCAAGTATGTCTACAAATTGACCATTGGCTGCCAGCGTGTCAATTCACCAATCACTTTACTCAGAGTCCCTTTGAGAGTTCTTGTGCTGACTGGTAAGTCAGGTTCCTAGAGGGAAGGGGTGAGGTAGAGGCTTACCAAACATAGTCCAAGAGGACCTGCCAGGACTCCTCGTGTTAGAGACAGTGCTGAGGATGAGATGGGGACCATAAGCATGGCTCCCCCTCAGCCCCTTCAGGTTGGACTCTAAACCAATTGTCTGTTTACATCTCTGGTTTGCCCCCAGAATTACCTCTACTCCTCTCTAGGTCTTCAGGATGTCCACTTTCCCCAGGATGAGGCTGTGGCTCCATCAAGTCCATTCTTAGAGGAGGATGAAAGTGGGAAGAAGGATTCATGG